AAAATCACTTGGCAAATTCAACATCCATTCACGATAAAAATCTCAGGCAACTAAGGCTACTAGGGGACTGTCTCAGTCTGATAAAGTGCGTGTACAAAAACCTACAACTAACATCTTAGTAAGGTGAGATTGTGAACATTTCCCCCCTAAGGTTGGGAAAAGGTAGGTGTCCACTTTCATCATTTATGTTCAGTGGTGGAGGTCCTAGCCACTGTAATAAAAGAGGTAAAAAAAGGAAAGTCATTAAGTTTGGAAAAGGAGAAATAAAGATGTCTCTATTTGTAGATAACATGATTGCTTAAATAAAAAATCTTAGGAACTCTATAAACAGCCACTAGAAACAATTGAATTTATCACATCAACATATTGACAATAATTGGCAAATATATGATACTAGCAGCAAACAAATGGAAAACGAAACTTAGAGAACAGAGTCTTTTAAAATACCACCCTGCCCCCCCCCAAAAAAAACACAGAAGAAATAATTTGGAATCAGTTTAACAAAATATGTGCAACACTTCTATATTGAAAAAATAAAACATTTCTGAGAGAAACTAAAGAATATTTAGTAAGTAGAGTGCTCTACCATGTTCATAAAACAAAGCATTCAGTAGTGTTGAGATGTTATTTCTACCCAAATTGAGCTGTGGATTTTATATCATCCTAAACCATATCATCCTAAACCAATAGACTCTTTCATACAAGTTGATTTTAAAATGCATATGAAACAGGACCTAGAATATGCCAAACAATATTGAGAATCAAAATCTAAGTTGGAGGACTCATTTTGTCTGATTTTAGGCCTTTCTGTAAACCCACAGTAATTAAGACTGTTTAAGGACAAACAGATCAATGGAGCATAATAGAGAGTCCAGAGATAGACCCATACATATACAATTCGTTGGCAACAAGAAAGCCACCAAAGCAATTCACTGACCATTCTCTTATACCATACACAAAGATAAACTCGAGATGGATAAAAGACCTCAATGTGAGGCAGAAATCCATCAGAATCCTAGAGGAGAACATAGGCAGCAACCTCTTTGACATCAGCCACAGCAACTTCTTTCAAGATATGTCTCCAAAGGCAAAGGAAACAAAAGCGAAAATGAACTTTTGGGACTTCATCAAGATCAAAAGCTTCGGCACAGTAAAAGAAACAGGTAACAAAACAAAGAGGCAACCCATGGAATGGGAGAAGATATTCCCAAATGACAGTGCAGACAAAGGGCTGATATCCAAGATCTACAAAGAACTCCTCAAACCCAACACACACAAAACAGATAATCATGTCAAAAAATGGTCAGAAGACATGAACAGACACTTCTTCAATGAAGACATACAAATGGCTAACAGGCTCATGAAAAAATGTTCATCATCACTAGTCATCAGGGAGATTCAAATCAAAACCCGCATTGAGATACCACCTTACACCATTTAGAATGGCCAAAATTAACAAGACAGTAAACAACATGTGTTGGAGAGGATACGGAGAGAGGGGCACCCTCTTACACTGTTGGTGGGAATGCAAGTTGGTGCAGCCACTTTGGAGAACAGTGTGGAGATTCCTCAAGAAATTAAAAATAGAGCTTCCCTATGACCCTGCAATTGCACTACTGGGTATTTACCCCCAAAGATACAGATGTAGTGAAAGAAGGGCCATCTGTACCCCCAATGTTCATAGTAGCAATGGCCATAGTCACCAAACTGTGGAAAGAACCAAGATGCCCTTCAGTGGACGAATGGATAAAGAAGATGTGGTCTATATATACTATGGAGTATTATGCCTCCATCAGAAAGGATGAATACCCAACTTTTGTATCAACATGGACGGGACTGGAAGAGATTATGCTGAGTGAAATAGAGTCAATTATCATATGGTTTCGCTTACTTGTGGAGCATAAGGAATAACACAGAGGACATGCGGAAATGGAGAGGAGAAGTGGGTTGGGGTAAATTGGAGGGGGAGACGAACCATGAGAGACTGTGGACTCTGAGGAATTAACTGAGGGTTTTGGAGGGGGGCTATTGGGAGGTTGGGTGAGCCTGGTGGTGGGTATTGTGGAGGGCACATATTGCATGGAGCACTGGGCGTGTGCATAAACAATGAATTCTGGAACACTGAAAAGCAATTAAAAAAATAAATAAAATTTAAAAAAAACAAAGCAATTCATTGAGAAAATGTATTTTCATAAATGATGCTGGAAAACTAGGTAAATGAACCCCAACTCACACCACTCAAAAAATCAAGTTTGGATGGATTATAGACCTAAATAGAAAAGCTAAAACTATTCAGTTTCTGTAAGAGTTTAGAAGACAATATCATCATGATCTTGGAGTTGGCAAAGGTTTTTAAAAGTGGATACAAGAAGATCTAATAAGAAGAATCTGGTAGGGGCACCTGGGTGGCTCAGTGGGTTAAAGCCTCTGCCTTCAGCTCAGGTCATGATTCCAGGGTCCTGGGATCGAGTCCCGTATCAGGCTCTGTGCTCAGTGGGGAGCCTGCTTCCTCCTCTCTCTCTCTCTCTGCCTGCCTCTCCACCTACTTGTGATCTCTCTCTCTCTCTCTCTCTGTCAATAAATAAATCTTTAAGAGAAAAAAAAAGAATCTGGTAACTTGAACTTCATAAAATTTTAAATTTTTGTTTATCAAAACATCTACAGATTTATGTAACAGATTTCATATATGTACATATAAATATGTATACTTATGTATGTATATATACATTTTGTATGTACATATAAAATATTCCTAATAGCCAAAATACAGAAATGTAGTCTGATAATATAAATATTTTTCTTGTTGGAATGTTTTTATTTCAAGGAAACAACTTTTTGTAAGAGTTATTTTATTCTATCAAACTTCTGTTCACGAAGGATATGAAATGGCAAACCAAAGACAGAGGAAATGTTCACAATATGCATATCTGATAAAGGACTTATATCCAGAACATATAAAGATCTCCTAGTCAAATAATACAAATCGATAATAAAAATATTAACAACCCACATTTTAAAAATGGGCCAAAGTCTTGAACAGATACTTCACCAAAGAAGATATATTAATGGCCAATAAACCCATGGAAATTGCTCAACCTCCTTAAATATCAGAGAAAATTCATTAAAAATACAATTAGACACTATTTTACACCCACTGGAATGGCTAAGATTAAAGACTGACAACAACCAAATGTTGTGAAGGATGTAAAGCAACTGGAACCCTTAGGAGAAATGTGCAAACTAGCACAATGACTATGGGAAACTTTCTGATGGTTTCTTGTAAAGGTAAACATACTTCTACCCTATGAGCCAATAAATTTTCTTCTAGATATTTTCCTGAAGAAAAGTATCCCCTTCACTCTCTTTTTTTCCCACTCTTTCTTTTCCCACAAAAATGCTTAAATAAAAGATCCTTATAACAATCCTAGTCATAATACCCTCCAACTATAAGCATTTCCAAATGCCTATCAACAGGAGAGGATATAAAAATTTGTGGTTTGAATCATCTGGTTGAGTGCTACTCGGAGATTGAAAAACAGAATGACTATTGATACATGTAGCCTAGATCAGTCTCAAAACCACTCTGTTGAGGGCAGGAAGCCCTTCAAAAAGATTAATACATATGATTACATTTATATGAAGTTTAAGAAGAGGTAAAATTAATATACAGTGACAGACATCAGAAGAGTTTTGTCTATGAGGATGTGTAGGCTGACCAGAAAGGGGCACAAGAGAACTTCCTGAGGCGGCATAAATATAATAAATCTTTCATCTGTGTATTCATGTATCAAAACTCAAAGAATTGTACACTTGAGAACTGTGCATCTCAGTGGAAGTAAATTTTACTTCAATAAAAATATAAAATAATCACAAAAACTATGAGGTTTTTGCATCATTTAAATAATTAATTGCATAATTAGATAATCATATCGTTTAAATAATCATTTTTCTCATGGGATATCTAGATCTCAAGTGAATAATCTGTTTTTTTTTTTATTAACTTTTTTTCTTCTGTTCAGAAAAGCAATACATATGTTTATTAGTCAGTCTGGGTTGCCATCACAAAATACCACAGACTGTGTGGCTTAAAGAACAGAAATTTATTTTCTCACAGTTCTGGAGGCTGGATGTCTGAGATCAGGGTCCCACCGTGATTGGTTTCTGGTGAGGGCCTCTTCCTTGCCTGCAGACAGCTTCCTTCTCCCTGTGTCCTCACTGGGTGGAGGGGAAGCAAGCTAGTGTCTCATTTTATAAAGCCATGAATCCCATCCTGAGGGCCTCACCCTCATGACCTCATGTAACTTCCATTACCTCCCGAAGGCACCTTCTCCAGTTACCAATGCATTAAGGGTTAGGTCTTAAACACATGGATTTGGGGGACACAGTTCAGTCCGCAGCAATATATATTCTAGAAAATCTGGAAAATATAGGTAAGTGGAAAGAAAAAGAAAAAGAAACCACATAATTGCATTACCCAAATATAATTATGGTTAACATTCCAGTGTATTTGCTTTCCAAAGTTATATTATCTTGTCCTTTATGTGGTTGTAGTCATTCTGTCCAAATAAACTTGTAGCATGACCTTCTTAATTACAAATGAATTATTTTCTATGGTACTAAAATCTCTTTATATGTACCCTCTTTTAATAGCCACAAAGGTTTTCAACTGAGTGACTGTGCTGTACTTTATTTATTAATTATTTTGTGACTGAAGGTTGGAATTCTTTCCAGTATCTTGCTAGTGTAAATAATGCCATGGAAAATATATCTGTGCAGGAGGTTTTTCCAGTAACTGAGATTCATTTCTTGGGATAGAATTCCAGAAAATCGAAATTATAGGTTAAAAGGTTTTGCTCTAATTACATGTTGCCAAAGTCCTTTCCAGAAGGATGTCCCACTTTATATTGCCCCCAGCAGTGGGGCAGGAAGGTGCCATATCTATTTGCTCTTAAGGGGTGGAGGTCATTTCCACTAATGTGTGTGTTGGCTTGTTTCCACAGGTTAGCAAAGACAGCTGAAGCCGACTTGTGCAGGATTCCCCTGGCTCTTCTGTGACCTCCTCTCCCTGGTAGCCTGTGTTCTGGGCCTCACCTAAACAAGTCTGAGTAGGAACAAGCCATCTCTTCCATCCATAGCCATGAATTTCCTCCGGCGGCGCCTCTCCGACAGCAGTTTTGTGGCTAACCTTCCCAATGGCTACATGACAGACCTGCAGCGCCCAGACAGCTCCACCAGCTCCCCTGCTTCCCCAGCCATGGAGAGGAGGCATCCCCAGCCCCTGGCAGCCTCCTTCTCCTCTCCAGGATCCAGCCTCTTTAGTTCCTTCTCCAGTGCCATGAAGCAGACCTCACAAGCCCCCTCGGGGCTGATGGAGCCTCCAGGTCCCTCTGCTCCCATTGTTCAAAGGCCCAGGATCCTATTGGTGATCGATGATGCCCACACAGATTGGTAAGCCAGAATCTGTAATCTTCCACCTATGGGCAAGAGAGGAAATGGGGCTTCTCTCAGTCCTGGGGCGGCGTGAGGGCGGGGGTAGCTGAGAGGCTTTGTGGTATCAGAGACTAGCCCGAGGGAAAAAAACTATGTTTATCATGTGGTCGTTCCATGCCAGGCACCATGGCATCTGCTTTTTACTTTACATTTATAGATCCCAATCCCTTACCTGTAAATCTAAAACCAAAAAGCTCTGAAAACTGAAAAATATTTTATAATCCATTTGGCAACAAAGCTTGGTCTGAGGGAAAGTGAGATTATAATAGTATTCATTATACTACTCACTGTGCTTGTCCATGTGATCTACTGCAAGCTTAGTTTACATCCTAATACGTTTGCTGTGGGGGTGCTGTCTAGAGCTCATCGGGAGTATTACATAATATATGGTATGTGTGCCATATTACCTTCCTAAAAATGGAAAACTTTAAAAATCTAGAATAACTCTGGCAAGTTGCTTACTATCTTTCAGCCTCAGCCATCCTCTGTCCATTCAGTTAGGTTGCTATGAGGGTAAAAGAAACGAACACAAAGCCCATGGTCTTTATCTAACACCCTTGGGACCAGAGTCCCTGGGTTTGTATCCCAGGTCTTCCATGTACTGGCAGTCTGGCTCCAGAACCTCTTCTCTTAACGCCAAGCATGCGCAGAGACGATGTTGGGCATGCCAACAGATGGTAAGCTCTCCAGAGGCAGAGACTAGGCACATGTGTCAAGATCATTGCAGCAGTTGTACCACAAGCAGTTACTAGTACCAGTCAAGTGTAAGTCACAGTCTTAGGTGCTCAGGTGAGTGGTGAACAGACCCTGTTCACATGGATCTGGACAGTTGGAGAATAGGGCTCTATACCAAATTTTTGGTAGAGGGGAGTGATAAATAGTATCAGTCCTAATTTGAGGCATAGAATTTGCAGTCCAGGAAATAAGTCCAAATGTGGAGACATGGAGGCACTCCATCCAGGGCATTTCTGACAGACCCAAACAAGGTCATGGGGCTGGAGGGCAAGGTTGCATGCATGTGTCTCCAAAGGCCGCCACATCGTAGGCTCTCAGTGAATACGTCTTAGGTGAATAAATTAATGCATCCTGTTCACTGAGCATGCCGGAAGCTCTGCTGTTCTCGCATGTGTGTACTCACATTCATTCCTTCAGAAGTTAACTCAGGCTGGGAATGATTGAGCCTGTGCTTTGGAGTGGGATATTTATAGCGTGTAATACATATTCAGTACAGTCAATAGGGGAGCACGTTCAGCAGGTGTAGATAGCAGTCTTTACTTTCTTGCTAAGAAGTCAGTTCATCTTAAGCAAGATGGTTATGTGCACGGCCTTTGTTCTGATCCAGTGTGCATTATCTTCGGTGTTGCTGCTTGCTTGAAGCTTGTCATCATGAAGCCTTGTTTATCTGTTCGTGCGCTTATGTAAAAGCACCATCTTCATGTCCTGAGCATAGCGGTTGATTTCTGCAGAGATACTGCTTCCAGGTACTCTTGCCTGTACAATTCTGCTGCCTGTCCACCCAGTCATCAAAATGCCTGCACGGCCTTTGCAGTCTTCTTGTTTCTTTTTAACCCAGTGCTTGACCTTGATTTGGAGCATTCTCTGCCGTGTTATCTCTAGCTCAGTCAGGGTTTGCCATGATATGGCAGTGGTCAGGGGTTATTTTAAAAACCTGTTTGTCAGGGAACTTAACTCTCTGTATGGAGGTTAAGCTGATAAATGACAGCACAGTACAATGGTGAGGAACACAGACTTCAGAGTTAAGCCGTCTGGATTCAGATCCCATCTCTACCCCATAGTAGCTGAATGACCTTTGCAAGTTACTGCACCTAAATGTCAATAAGACAGTATTTACCTTGTAGAGTTAATGTATGTAATTGGGTTAAAATCTGAGTTACTGTAAAAGTGCTTAGGATGTGTCTTACAGACAGTAGTTGCTACTTAGGTGTATGTCACTGTTGGAGACTATTTGGGACCTTCTATGCAACATTAGTCATCCTGATGGCAGCCCCTCATAGGCATGTTTATTTAATCTCTTCATCCCCAATAATGCGCAGAGTGGATTAGGAGTGATCTCAGTGTGCAGAGTTTTCTATTAATCACTCATGCCTATTAGCTCCTGAATGATAAAGTTGCGTCTTACGAATCTCTGTCCTCCTGGTGTCCATGGGGTAAGTAGTATAGTGTAGGGGCACAGTGAATGAGGTTGAAATGCAATGAATGGCCTCACCCAAGTAACATTTATTTATTATTATTTGAAGTTTTTATTTAAATTCCAGTTAGTTAACATACAGTGTTATATTAGTTTCAGGTGTACAATATAGTGATTCAACACTTCCATACAAAATTCTGTGCTCATCATGACAAGTACACTCCTTAATCCCCATCACCTATTTCTCCTATCCAAGTAACATTTACATTTTACTTTAGTCTTCCATCTCTCTAATCCACAGGTATGACTAATGGGTGAATTTTAAACTGTGCATACTGAGGGGGGACACAATTTTGACTTAGAGGAATGTTTCCCAGTCTCTTTCAATCACGCCTGTTATACTCACACTTTAATTAGGCCTCAAAAGCAACAATCCTCTTCTTGCCCCTCAGTAGGTAATAAAGGGGAGAAGGGGGAAACTGACACTCATTAACTTACCTGGAACCTGGTTCTGCATCCATTGGACATTTGTGATAGAGACTTCCTGCCTGCAGACACACCAGCTTTTCCTGTAGAACTCCACTTTAGATTCTTCCCCAACTTCTTATCGTCTCTGGATCTTAATACATTTCCAGCTTTCTCCAGATCCATGCAGGCTGCCTAGGAATCCCAGTCCTCTTCTGCAGAGTTCCTGAGGATTGCCTGTCCCCGGCCACCAGGAGTGGCCAGCAGGTGGCGAGCCAGCCCCACTGTCCTGGGGTGGCTTTGGCAGAGCCTGGGCTGCCCGAGTTAGCCCCCGCCCAACCCCTCCTCCATTGTGCAAACTGTCTCCTGAGAGGAAGAAGTTGTTAAAGGGGAGAAGCCAGTTCACAGGCCCCTTTCCCCTCCCCCTTTGAGATGATAATGAAGGGGGAGATAGCCACTGTCTAGACTGAGAGTGAACCCACCAGGAACAATGCTGCTCCCTTTTCTCCCTTCTCAGTCCCAGATCCTCTGTCTTCCCATTCTGGGTTCTGGGCTTTCCTGCAGAATCAGGTTTCCTTGTAGCTAGAGAATTTGCAAGAAACTCCCTCTCTTTCCCTCCTGGTGGAGGCCAGCTTGATAGTCTGGACCAGCCTGGGCCCCGCAAGGGCTATCTGATACCTGCCCAGTGACCTGGGGGGGAAGGACCTTTCATCCTTGGAGGAGAAACAGAGGGATACTTTGCTGAGAAACACAACTCATGGCTGAGCTTTGTAAGATCCCACCATCTTTTGGAGTTGGACCTGGAAGAGCCCAGTTAAGACAGTGGTGTTTGGGGAACTTTGGGCCAGCTCAGTAGTAGGTCTGAACTCAAGTTGGTGCTGTCCTTTGGGATGAGGGGAGATCAGTCAATCTTGAGAACCACAAGGGAAAGGAGAAATAAAATAAATGGATGTTAAACTCAGTATTCTTCAGCGCTACTGCCTGTCCACTCATTCTCTTGCCTAGAATTTTCAGCAGCCTCAATGGTCTCGGGCCTCCAGTCTTGACTTCCTGGTTAACTTCCATGTTACCTGTGGTGGTAACCAAAGGGTAATTTTTTTTTGAAACACAGACTTGATCAGATTGCTCCCACCACGCATCCCCTATTATAATCCTGTGTTGCTGCATCATTGCCCTCAAATTTAAATCAAGTCATCAGCTTGCTTGCCTCCCTCTAATTCTGTCTCTAGCTCCACTTCCTGCTGTACTCTTTATTCTACAGAAATAACAAACAGCCTGTAGTTCTCAAACACATTTGCCTTAGCACCTTCTGTTCCCTGCTACCTGGAATACCCTTCCCTATCTTGTTCACTTGTCCAATTTCCATTCATCCTTAAAAGCCTGCTCAGGTGTCACCTCTTTTGTGAAGTCTTCCCTGACACACTGCACCCTGCCAACAGTGCTGACAGTCACCTCCTTTATTTAACTTAGAGCATTTTGCATTGTGCTACAGTAATTTCACACTGTGTTATCATTGGCTGTTAGGTGGCTGTCTTTTCTGCCAAAACAAGGCCTGTGTCTTGTTCTTCCTTATATTCCTGGTGCTCAACACACAGTCGGTATTCAATTAGCATTGTCATTGCCCCCCTCCAGTACAATGAGGATAACTTTTAATGGGCATAATGAGGCCTGAAACTCACCTTACCTTGAAAGTCAGCAATATAATACATAGAGTCGAGGGGTTTCAGTTTTTACTCACCTTTGTATAAAATCTTGGCTCTTTATTTTCCAGAGTGGGAGTAACTGTAAGACTGCTATTTGAGATTGTTAAAAGAAAGTTGGCACAAAGCTTTTTTATTGCCCACTGAATATACCAGAACCCCAGGTTTGATTTTGAAATCAAAACATTGAACGTGACAAAAAAAAAGATTGCTCATATTCAGGCTTGGGTTGGATGTACCTCCCTGCTCATGGTTTTGCCTATAAGCTCTCCAGAGCCTAGAGGAAGTTGAGTAACAGGGTGTTGAGGTGAGGGGATAGAAGCAGCTAAGCCTTTGCCCCCAACCCCTCCCTCCAGTAGCTTGTGGAACTCTGGCTCTCCTCTCCTCTTACCTCACCCATGGCCTTGTTCCCAGAATGTCTGCTATTCCATTTCAACAATGATCTATTGTTACCTTCCCTTCAATTCTCCACCCTTCCCTATGTCTCTTTTTTCTTTTATTTGTTGGGGGAGGAAATGAAGAAAGTATTCTTGGTTTGAAACACCCCTCTGCTACTGTCCTTCCAGCCTAGAGTGTATCAGGCTACACTGTCCTCCTAAATAATGATCGGTGGTACCCACTAAGGTACCTTGTGCCTTTTTAGA